AGCTGCATCTGCCACTATTGAACCTGCTTGCTGCTGCATCTTCCGTTGAGCAGTCTCTTTGGTGTACCTCTGCAACGGGTGTTAACCCCACTCACTCTTGTTGTACGCATATTGAAGTTACTTTCAAATGTACATAACTGTTTATAAAACTGCGTTAGCATATAGTGTTATAGAATTACTTTTGTGCATAATCGTCCGCCTTCTTCTGCTCCCACTCCTTGGCCGCCACTACCAAGAGCCCCAGCACCGCCTCATCAGAGGGGGAGACCTTAACAAGGGGTATGCGACACGGATCTCGAGAACATGCGCTAATTTCTCTATCGGTGGTCGCACTACAAAATCCCCCTTCTTCTCCGTCAACAACGTGTCACCCTCTTTCCCCCCCTCGACGCATTCAAATCATCGCCACCACGACTTCGCATCGTCGAACATCTAAGATGGACCATGGTCGGGTCCGCTGGTCGGACCACTTGCAGCTGTTGGATCGAAAGGTTAACGCACATAGCAATAGAGATGCCCTACTCCGCACATATGAAAAATGATGTTCGCATGAGACGTTATCATCAAAACCCATGCACCAACTCTGAGGCTTTGAAACGATGTGATATGTGGGAGTGTGGCATTGTGACGAGCCAAAGTATGGTGGTGTATAGAGCTCCTCAACAGCCAACTGCCGTTGCCAGACGTGGAAAAGGCAAACGAAAGGGGAGGGGGAAGGGGGGGAAGGGGGGGGGGGGGGGGGGGGGGGGGAGGGAGGAGAGGAGGGGAGGCGGGGGGCGGGGGGGTGGGGGAAGGGGGACGTAAAATGATACACAACCATGGTTCGGGATCTCTACTACACCCTCTTTCTCGCCATTGTGAAGTCGGTTATAGTGAAGTCAAGATGGGAAAAGCACGGTTAACGGTGGTTAGATTAAGTCTAGGTATGGTTCAATCAGACAAATCGAAGGTAACTAGGTTTTCCATCAGTTCAGCACAGTTCAGTGTAGTGAGAAAGAGGGTGTATGGTGGTAATACAAAGGTAATTTGCGAACATTGCATCATTGCTGTCCCTAACTTTGCGACACGATGGTTTGTCTGATAAATTAATAAAGACGAGACATTTATAAAAATTAGTAAGACATTGTGATTATACACCCTTTTATCGACCTTCTCACCAACGCATACATTGTCTACGGTGCTTGGCGTATACCATGCTGGTGACATAAACCGAATCTTGAAAACTACGAGCAAAGACACACCATTTAACACACTTGCAACAAGGCAAAACATCTTAGTTAACACTGAATACCCTTCCTAACCATTCAGAATTGAATGGAAATCCGATTGGTGACATGATTCACATCACCTCGCCACACTCAGACGATGTGCCTGTACAGTATGGGTACGTTGAGGTTCGATGAACTGTCTCGCTTCTAACACCAGATGTCAGTATAGCGAGAAAAAAATGGGTGTACCAAGCAACAGCGTTGGACCCTAGTGTATTGTACAATTTGATGTGCCGAGGCAAGTGCATTTCAGGTTGCGTGCACAAACACGCATTTATGACTGGATGTGTGTGTGTGTGGATGTGATTTGTGTTGTGGCCTGGCATCGCATAGGCCGTCCGTGGGAAGAGCGGTGTGCCGTGAACGAAGCAACCACGAATCCATACGAGTGCATGCGATTGAATGCCTCTGTGAACCGGGGCTATGATTGGATGCTCCGAATATGTAAGGGCGCTACAACAGTAACGCACTACACCCTGTTTCGCGCTAGCAGAGCATCTGGTTGCAGAACATGCACTGGTTGTAGAACGTCACCACGTTTGAAATGGTCTTATCACCGACGGTACAAGCACATTCACAAGAAAGCGGTTAGCTAGGATGCTGCATGGTAAAGAACATTAACCAAGCGTTTCAAAGCGGTTGAAAAGGGTATACAGCGATAAAGAAAAATTTTGCCCCCAGTACCACTCCGTCAGCTGGTGCGGCTTTGCCCGCAGGTTTCAGCCATACGGTTTATGGCACCTGACCGCACTGTAGCAGCGAATCGCGCAAGGTGAGAGGGTCGAGAAACAGGGTGTACTAAGTTCAGTGGTGCAGTTCAGGCAAAAACCTGATACCCTGCACTCGTGCACATTTTATGTAATGAACCCGCGCTAACCCATTTTGATGTCACCAATTACTGTATGCCCTGCTTTCTGCACTGAAGGAGAAATACAGTGAAGGTGAACTTGACATTTCTGGCAGAAATGAATATTTTTTTTTTCGCGAATAGTACAGCTCAAATGTTAGGTGCGGTCCGTCTGTTTCTCAGGAGGCCGCCGCACCCCACTCCAGGTCCCACACGCAAACCGACAGATGCACCTTTCCTTCATCTATCCATCCCAACCACCCTTCATCCACCTAGGTGAAGCGAACCTCCCACTGTACAGTACACCCTGTTTCTCGACCCTCTCACCTTGCGCGATTCGCTGCTACAGTGCGGTCAGGTGCCATAAACCGTATGGCTGAAACCTGCGGGCAAAGCCGCACCAGCTGACGGAGTGGTACTGGGGGCAAAATTTTTCTTTATCGCTGTATACCCTTTTCAACCGCTTTGAAACGCTTGGTTAATGTTCTTTACCATGCAGCATCCTAGCTAACCGCTTTCTTGTGAATGTGCTTGTACCGTCGGTGATAAGACCATTTCAAACGTGGTGACGTTCTACAACCAGTGCATGTTCTGCAACCAGATGCTCTGCTAGCGCGAAACAGGGTGTAGTAAGTTTTCTAATGTAACTTCCACACTCCAGCACTTTCCCCTCCCGTCGCGTCCACTCCACTCCCCCACCACAGCTTTCTCAGGCAGCTTTCTCTCACCCCCTCGCATTGTGAAGCTCGACCGCTGACTTCAACGCTTGCTTCAGCTGTCTCTGAGCCCAAGGGTCAGGGCGCGTGTGTTCCGTTTCCAAGTTCAAAAATAGTTCGAGGTTTGAGTGGTTGCCCTTTTCGCTAATTTCGCGAAGAGCATCTGACGAACATCGCGACTTTTAGGGCTTATTAAAGTTCGAACTTGAAAAGTGAACTTGACTCGAGTTGGCGTTGTGAACGTGCGCACGTTCACGCGAGCATGTGTGTTTTCGGCATGTACGAACACCATACGAATTTGACGACTGCATCTCGAACCAGAAAATGGCATAATGTTGACTTGGCGAGCATGTACCGGGTAACAAAAAGGTTCAGATCTTCGTGTTCGACCTTGCGTGTGTGATAGCATCTTTACACTGTGATTACCGCAATTTTCGAACTTCGCTACAAGGAAAGTCGAACTCCATTCGACTTTTATTTGTCCCCAAAACATAATCTTTGTCAAATTTGACGGAACACACGCGCCCTTAGCTGACATGTATGATAATTTCTTACTTACCTGTCCTTTTTCAGAGTAGTCAAAGAGTTTGTAGTGAAGTAACGGTGTCCTTAGCTTTCAAGTCGGCGCCTTCCTTGGTTCGATCTCAACCGTGGTCGACACCCGCCGTTTGCAGACACCATTCTTTGCAGGTCTCGTGGTTCCCGCCCCCCGCGACTCGGGACGTTGCGTTGACCTTGGTGTGGCCGACGCACAGGCGAGTGCGTCAAAAGCACACCCGAAAGCACACGAGCTCCGACGACAATGGCGACTGCCACGGAGCCAATGTCCGTCCCACTCCCGCCAGACTCCTCCCGAACCGCGTCTCTCCCACCGCTCCCGCTCTCCAAATCATGGAAAGACCCACCTTCCGCGAGAGATCAGCAGCAGCAGCTGGCCTCCTGCGTGTCAGCTTCCGATCAATCCGCGCGGAACTCAAGCCTCAGTCCTGCGCGCGCTCGAAAAGCCCCCCTGGATAACTCCCCGCACTCTGTACTTGATGCCGCCTTGTCCGCCGCCTCCTCCTCCTCCTCCCCAAGCTCCTCTTTCGTTCCGCGCGATAGCCGCGCGGGAGTTATTACCAGCGTGCCAGCGAGCACGAGCGCGCCCGCCGCCGCTGATTCCGGCTCCGCGTCCGCGAATGTCTCATCGGCCACCGCCTCTCCGCGCGTTTCCGGCGTGCTCCGTACGGCGGAGATGGGGAAAATCGACGCGGGCACTCCGCCGACTATGACGAGCTTCCGCAGCCTGACCAGTAGCAGCATGGGTTTCGACAGCGGCAGCGGACAAATCACGGACACCATGGTTGCGCAGATCGACGCGGATGCTGATGAGGCGCTCGGAAAATTCCTGGCCGCTCAATCGGCGCGCAGCGCCCGGAACTACGTCCGCCGCGCCGCTTCCGCCGCGAGCGCCGCGGCGAGTCCGCTTAGAGGGGATGCCGGAGACGCGGTTGCGCGGGTTTCGAGTCTTGAGAGGCAGCAGGTGAGGCGGTCGCCCGCGAGAAACGCGGTGTCGGGGGAGATTTCCGCCGCGTGCGCCTCCCCGCAGCGGTTCCTGAGCCCCATGGCGTCGCCCGCGCGAGAAATCCAGCGTCGCAGCCGTCGCAGCATGGATTGCAGCGCCGTTGACATGCAGCCATTGGTGGAAGGGCTAGCTTCCGCCGATACGACCGTCGCGCGAAATGCCGCGGAAAGCATCCGCAAGGCGCTGAAGGAATCCGCGGAGAACTGCGCTCGGCTGGTTACGGCGGAAGGGGTGTCTCCGCTTGTGCGCGCGATTCTAGCAGACGACAGGGAAACCGCGGAGCACGCTATGACCGCGCTATTGTTTTTGGCGGTGACGAGGCCTGCGGCAGTGGCGGAGATTACTTCCGCGGGAGGCCTGCGCAATGTTCTCCGCGTGTTAGCGCAAGAGCCTAGCGGAAGCGAGTTCCTTCGCAGCAACGCCGCCGCCGCGCTGTTTCCGCTAGCAAATTCCCCTGACGCGCAAAAAACTGCGCTGGCGGCGGGGGTTCTCCCTCCGCTGGTGGCGCTGCTGCGGGAGGCCTCGTGTACACGCACGAAAAAGGACACGTGCCTCGCGCTTGTAACGCTGGGGAGCGAAGCAAACGGTGCCCGCGAAATAGTTGCGACGGGCGTTGTTCCGCGATTGATCCAGCTGCTTGTGGAAGCGGAAGCGGGGGTGGAAGAATTGGCTGCTGCGGTGCTGGGGGTGGTTGCGCGGGTCGAGGAGGGTTGGAAGGCTATCCGCGCGGACGAGGATGGTTTATCCGCGTTAGTGGAGTGCTTAGAGGGGGGCGTGGGACGCGCTAAGGAACATTCGGCGTCTACTTTGCTGCAGGTTGTAAAATCGGATCCTGATTCGGTAGCGGTTCTGCTTGCGGAGGGGTGCTTGCCCGCGTTAGTGGCACTCTCGAATAGCAACAGGCAGTGTAGCGATGCGAAGGAGCTTCTGGAGCTGCTGCGTGCTGCGTGTAATAAACGAAGTGATTAAATGGGAGCGTGTGGGTTGCGTAAGAGGGACTCTAGCGCGTTGGGTTTGCCGTACCCCTTATATGCACATGGCGTGGGGCTGTGTAGCAATCATGCCAAATACACATCACATCAGCCTTTATTTCGCAGGACTAAAACCTCACCATCGGACCTGAGACGGGGAGCTGCTAGGGATGCTTCGGCTTCCCTGATCAAGTGAACCCTGCCCAAATACCATATTCCAGGCAGAGCAGGGAGGGCAGAAGCTTCAGAGACTGTTGGCAGGTGGACCGGGCCCGGCAAAGGAGAGGGTGCAGTAGGAGAGAGAGGGTGAAGCAGAGGAGGTAGGAACGTCCATAGCTCGTAGACCTTGTGGGGTGGCATGTGTGGCTTGGTGGTTGTAGGAAGGACTAGAAGGCTTGAGGGAAGCAGAGGATGGGATGTGAGGAAGGGAAGGAAGGGGAGAGCTGGGAGGCGAGGGGAGGAACGTGGAGGAAGGGAAGAAAAGGGGAGGAAGGAAGGAGAGGAGGGGAAGAAAGGGAAGGAGAACAGAGGAGAGGGGAGAAGTTCCGGCATTGAGGCAGGACAAGACGGGCAGCAGCATGCTTTAGGCTTTCTGAGAAGTTCTGCTGCACCGAATTCCTAACCCGTGTCGGTCGGTCCCCCATTGGGCCCTGCTGCAATTGTCATGCTGCACAGGACGGCATGAGAGAAAGCAGGTGTGGGCTAGATGATGGGCAGGCAGGCAGGCGGGTGAATGGGCGTGCAGCCAGGCAAGAGATCTGACGAGCAAGGAGGGGGGGAAGAGGGGGAATGGAAGGGGTGTGGCCGATGCACAAGCAAGCTGGTGTATCCCTTCAAATGCCATGGAAGAGTTTTCCTAGGGTTGGCACAAGGCAGCATTTTCGGCTCCGGTACATTGCTGGAGTTCCCCCTATTACTGCGGTCTATGGGTGTTTCTGGGGTAATGTACTGGTACTTTATGTCAGGTTGAACTTTGATTTGCTGGGATTTTTCTGGCTACCCAGAAACTGCTGATCGGCAGAAGACTAAGCAAAACCGTACTCTTAGCAGGTTCTGTGAGATTGGTGGGCACTGGACTGGAGAGAGGCATGGGTGCAATTTAGCCTAATGCTGCAAGTGTGCTTTTAGTCAGTTAGTGAGTATGATGATTTGACTGTTTGCTACTTGTCATTTGATCTCTGTTGTATTCAGTGCACCATCACTTTGCCAGGTAAAGTTTGCCCCCAATGTTCCACAAATGGCAGAGTACCAGTATCGGTACCAGTGCAGGTCGTCCTGAATCTTCAGTACACACAACAGATACGGTACTATTCATGTTGTACCAAGGTAGTAGCATAATCCATGACGTGTCGACTGCATAATCCATCCATACAACCATGCCCCCATCTAAAATAGCTACCATACCGTACCATTAAAATCGCACAAGGCTGGGTAGAGGACTGCTTGATGTGTTCCCTTGGTGGAGGGCATGTTGCATTGGGCTGGGCTAGGCTACAGAGGGCTGAGGGAGCCAGGCGAGAAGAGACCAAGACGCAACAACACTGTTAGAAATAATCAACCAGGGTTGCAATGAACGGAGTGAGCAGAGTGGGGTGAGCGTGAGTCACATCGCATGAGTTAGGTAAGTCAGGAGGAGAAGAAGTCACAGAGCAGTGGTATCCAAGGGACTGTGGGACCTGCATACTTACATGACAACAGAGATTTGTGAGCATCAGGTGGGTTAGTGGATTAACATGGGAAGCCCGTGTTTGGAGTGGAGTGGAGTGGAGTGGAGTGGAGTGGAGAGGAGTGGAGTCGGGTGGAGTTGGGTGGAGTGGAGTGGAGTGGAGTGGAGTGGAGTGGAGTGGAGTGGAGTGGAGTGGAGTGGAGTGGAGTGGAGTGGAGTGGAGTGGAGAGGAGTGGAGTGGAGCGGAGTGAAGCGCAGTCAGTCAGTCGTGGTGTGACGAGTCAGTAGCGGCGGTTGGAGTGAGAGTAAGAGTGAGAGTGAGAGAGAGGGGAGGAGTGCAGGAAACGCACATCCTCATCAGTGAGAAGATCGTCCCCTAGCAAGGAGGTGGCATCGTGTTGGGTGTAACTCAATGCCCGCTGCCACTGCTCCTCACACAGACCTGGACTGTCTGACACCTCTCCCCCTGTTCCTGCTGCTGCTCCTGCTGCTGCTGCTCCTGCTCCTCCTCCTCCTCCTGCTGCTGCTGCTCCGCCTCCTGCTGTTGCTGCTGGTGGTGTATCACCATCAAAGAAGAGTGGCGCCATAGAAAGAGCAGCCGACCTTGCAGGGAGAGCAGGAGCATCACCAGCAAAGAAGCCTGGTGCGGTCCAGAAAGCAGAATCAGCATCGTTATCATACTCCCCAGCACCAGCAGGAGCAGCAGTGGCAGCCGCCGCAGCAGCAGGAGGGGTAGCGTATGGCGATGCTGACCCAGCACTAGCAGCAGAAGCTGTAGCAGCAGCTGTAGCGGCAGTGGTAGCAGTAGCAGTAACAGTAACAGCAGCAAATGGGTGAACTGGTGGTGCCGGCTTTTCAGGAGTTACCTCCATAGCAAGAGCGCTTGACAGAGCATCAGCAGCTGAAGCATAGCCCGAAATCGGGTCCATATAGTCACTCAAAAAGCTGTCATTCGAGAAGCTATCCGGGATGGGATCTGGTGGCGTGTGTCTTGACGTCTCACCCTGCTCTCCCCTCCTGCTGCTCTCGAAATGTGCTTTTGCAGCGAGGTGCATGTAACGATCCCTTTCGTGTGCTCCCCCCATCCCTCCCATGTGACTGCCACCCTGCATGGAGACTCCATTCCCCATGAGACTGCCACCCCCAGTGTGACTGTTACCGGCACCGCCCATGTGACTGCCACTGCCACTGCCAAATCCGCTGCCGCTGCCACTGCCGCCACTGCCATTACCACAACTACTGCCACCCTCTGCCTGCATTCTTGGCATCAAGAACCTCTGATTCAGAGACTCAAACCCCTGTTCAACCGCATACCCCCCCACGCCCATCCTGCCTCGCCCAACCTCTCCAGCCAGCACAGGCGGTGGAAATGCACTAGACCCACAGCTAGTGCTGCTGGGACTGCTGCTGCCGTGGTAAAAAAACTCATCCCCCCTCCCTCCGCTGCTGCTGCAGTTTCCACCCTCCTCCTCTTCCTCCTCCTCCTCCTCCTCCTCCTCCTCCTCCTCCTCCTCCTCCTCCTCCTCCTCCACCTCCTCCTCCCTTCCCCTCTCCTCCTCCTCCTCCTCCTCCCTCGTCTTCTCCTCCTTCTTGAGGTAACTGTCCTGGTCCCCGTCCTCTCCCCTCCTGCCATTATTATCCCCACTGCCGTACGAGTGTGGCCCATCTCCTCTGTTTTGCCACTGCTGCTGATCCCCTTCCTGCTGCTGCTGCTGCCAATCCGCCTCGCTTGTGAAAAAAGAGAAGGGACGAGCAGAGAAGGTCTGCTGAGAGGGGATTGGGACGCTCGCCAGAAGCACCTCTTCCCAGGGGTTGAAAGGGGTGGGGACTGGTGGAGGGGGGTGGGAGTTGGAGGGGAGGATGGGATGGGAGAATGAGAAGCGAGATGAGAGGATAAAGAAGCGGCAGTAAAATAATGTGTAAGGGCATTAGAGGTAAACAAAAAACGGACACACATGCAAGCACACACGCACACGCTTGCATGCACAGACTAAGGTTGAGTAGAATACATATGACGACTTGCGGAGCACAAAAAACACCTGAGATACCTGGAAACAAAGAACATGAGAATACCTGAAAACACCTGAAAACAATAGACACCAGAAGGCAGCAGCACCTGATGCAGCAGAATGGCTGGAGCGGACACGTGCAGGGGGGAGCGGTGGTTGCGATTCCATAAGCAGCAACCACGGAGTGAGGATGGAGGGCGGTTGGCGTGAGGTGAGCAACGGAGGCGGACGAGTAAGGGGAGATGCGGTGAGGCGGGGAGGAGGGGTGGAGGAGGAGGAGGAAGGAGGAGGGTCTTTTGAGGCGAATGGGGATGGTGGATCGAGCATTTTTGGAGGGGGGAGAGGGGAAGGCGGGGCGAGCTTGGAGGGGAGGGCGTGGGGTGAAGCCTTTAGGGCCTTGGGGGGAAAGGGGAAGGGAAAGGGGAAGGGAAAGGGGAAGGGGAGGGGGAAGGGGAAGGGGAAGGGGAAACGGGGAAAAAACGAAGGGGAAAGGGGGAAGCGAGAAGGGGGAAGGGGGAAAAAGGAAGGGAAAGGTGAAGAAATGAGGTTGAAGGGGGAAGGGTGAACGGGGAAGGTGAAACGGTGAAGGAGGACGGGAGAAGGGCAATGAGGGGAGGATATGTGGAAGGGAGATGAGGAGAAGAAAGGGAAAGGTTTAGGGTTTACGAGGAGAGAATCTGCATCTGGAAACAATGACACGAGGAGCCCTGAGCCTCAACCCGAGTCAATTCCACGAGGTAGAAAGCCCTTCCCTCTCTCGTAACCAGACAATTCCTTCCCCACTGTCCTCCGCCTTACGAGCCTCACGCTAGCGCCCTACTCCCAGCTGCCACCCTTCAGACGATACCCCAACCCCCTCTTCCCCTCCCCCTCCCCGCCCTCCCCCTCCCATTCCCCTTTCCCATATGACCCCCGGTTGGAGCCCCACTCACAGCAGCAGGCGACTTTAGGGAGGAAGGAGGAGGAAGGGGCAGGGCAAGTGATAGCTGAGCGTCCATCAGAGCAGTGGAACGGAGCGAGGCGGAGAGTTCTTCCTCCTGTGCTGATAGCAGCGACTGGGAAGGGCGAGGTAGACGGTTGAAGAGGTTGGGAAGGGGTAGACGGGAGGAAAGGGGGGGGAAACGGGCAGCACAAATACTAGCTGAGCGTCCATGAGAGCAGTGGAACGGAGCGAGGCGGAGAGCTCTTCCTCCTGTGCTGATAGCACCGACTGGTGGTATGGGATGGGGGGGATGTGGGGTAGTGGTTGATGGGGGAGGACAGGACAAAAGAGGAATGAGGGGAGGAGAGGGCAAGGAGAAGGTAACGCAGAGGAGAGGCGAGGAGAGGAGAGGAGTGGGGAGGAGTGGGGAGGAGAGGAGAGGAGAGGAGGCAAATTTGAATGTGCCATCCATCCCATCCATCCACACACGACCCACCAACTTTAAACTTCAAGATCGCAGATGAACATGGCACGAACCAGAGGAAAAGCTGGCGCAGTTTTGATCCGACTCAAAATCCGCATGTAGTGAGTCGAGTTTTGAGTCGACTCAAAACCAGATGAACATGGCACGAAGCCGAGGAAAAGCTGGCGCATGCGCTCATGCTCTAAAAGGGTCTTACAAAAGAAGAGTGACAAGTAGAAAAGGAAAAGAGCAGAGGAAAAAAGGAGACATCAGCACACCTGGAAGGACTGCTGCAGCTGAGCATGCCGACGCTCCACTGCTTCTAGCCTCCCCACATGCTTGACAATGTCAGTTGAAAGAAGACCCATGCGGTAGATTATAAGACAACGCACCTGGAAGGATTGCTCCAGCAGAGCATGCTGATGCTCCACTGCTTCTAGCCTCCCCACATGCGACTCACCCACACTCCCTCCTCCTGACCCCCCTTCCGCTGCTGCTGCTGCTGCTGCTCCTGCGGCTGCTGCTGCTGGCGTTCCCCCCTGCCCTGATGAATCTGCTCCTCCTGCTCCTGCAGCGTGCGCTTCTGGATGGGGGAAGAAGAAGTGCGAGGGGCCTGCTTCTTGTACTGAGTCGGCCTGTAACGAGAAGGAGGGTTGCCAAGAGAATATAGGAAAGGGGATGAGGAGGAATACGCAGCGGAGTAATGGTGGAGAGGAGGAGGTGAGCGGGGGAGAAAAAGGGGAGGTGCAAAACAAGGGAGAGCTAGCGCAAAACAAGGGAGAGCCAGCGCAAAACAAGGGAGAGCCAGCGCAAAACAAGGGAGAGCCAGCGCAAAACAAGGGAGAGCTAGCGCAAAACAAGGGAGAGCTAGCGCAAAACAAGGGAGAGCCAGCGCAAAACAAGGGAGAGCCAGCGCAAAACAAGGGAGAGCCAGCGCAAAACAAGGGAGAGCCAGCGCAAAACAAGGGAGAGCCAGCGCAAAACAAGGGAGAGCTAGCGCAAAACAAGGGAGAGCTAGCGCAAAACAAGGGAGAGCCAGCGCAAAACAAGGGAGAGCCAGCGCAAAACAAGGGAGAGCCAGCGCAAAACAAGGGAGAGCTAGCGTAAAACAAGGGAGAGCCAGCGCAAAACAAGGGAGAGCCAGCGCACGGAAGAGCAAAAGCATGGGAGAACAAGAAAGGTGGAGAGAGGGCGTTTATAGAGCGGGGGAGAAAGAGGGGAGGTGAAACACCCGGCAACCTTCCAGAGTAACCACTCTTTAGTCGACTCGGAAAATCCCAGCTTTCAAGGTAGGGTACCATCCATCCATCCATGATCCATCCCATACCAGTTGCTGCAATGCGGGTTGCAGTGCTGCCAAGGCCGCAGTGTGGTTCCCAATAACCTCTGAACGGATCAACAACAGCTCACTACCATTACCAGTGCCACCACCACCACCAGTACTGCCACCACCATCTATGCCCCCTCCTCCTCCTTCTCCTCCTCCCTCTCCTGCCACTCCTGCTGCCGGCCCTGATTCTCCTGAGCCCGCCTTGCCATTCCCTAGCTCCATAGCACCATCTCCTCTGTCCTCGTCATCCGCACCACTCACGCCACCCCCATCACCAGCACCATCGCACACACGGCTGGTGTCGCAGGGTTCCTGCCCGGACTCCCTGCCGGCTTCACTGCTTCCTTGCTGCTCCTGCCCTGTGGCTCTGGAAACGTGCAGGAGAGAGGGGCATGAGAGGGAGACATTTGAGTCAACTCAGGGAAAAACAGATTTTGCTTCCCGGCTGCTGTTGCCTGGTAGCAAAGGAAACGTGCAGGGGAAGGGGGGAATGACGCAGGGGTGGGAACGAGAAAGGTTGCGAGGAGAGGCAAGTGGAGCAGGGGGACGAAGGGAAGTGAGGGAGTGGGGGGGGGTGGGGGAGAGGGGGAGAGGAGGAGAAGGGAAGAAGGGGAGAGTGGGCGAAAGGGAGAAGGAGAGAGGGGGGGAGAGGGAGATAATCGGAGAAGGGGATAGGGGGATAGGGGGAAAGTGGGAGAGTGGGAGAAGGGGAGGTGTGATGCGTAAACTGATAGGTGTGAGCATAGTTATAGTTATGATGGGGTGATGGCGATGACAACAGCACAGGGGCACAGCTGCAGAGCAGCAGAGCAGTAGCGGCACTGATAGCCCGCAGTGGGTGTGCTGGTGATAGTTGCTCTTTTATGGCGGCAGTAGAGGTGGTGGTGGTGGTGGCAGCAACAGCAGCAGCAAAGACAGAAGCAGACGCAACAGAAAACTTGCAAACGGGTAATAGTCAAACATGGCAGTACATCACATGCACATGCGCATGCACATGCACATCGCATGCACATGCACATCACATGTACGTATGACGGTAGGAGGTGAAAGGATGAAGAGACGTCGAATCACCTGGAGTTCCGGGCGAAGAATCGGCCAGTCAGATCCGCTAGCTTAGGGACATCCGTCTCTGCAGCACAGCACAGCACAGCACAGCAGAGGCAAACACACACATAGAGATGTTGGCAGACAAAAACGTTTTTCCGAAATCCTCTAGTTGTCACTGCATAGTCACACGGGACAAGATGCTTGCTAGCAAGGGAGGGAGTAGTATGGACAGGGAAAAAGGGAAGGACGAAGTTGAGGGAGAGGGTTGGTGGGTGGAGTGGGGAGTACACAAAAACAATGGAACGAGCGCAGGGAACAGAACACACGAGTGAGGGCGAGAAGCACTGACCCAAGCTTGCTGACAGCTGTTGCAGCTGCCTGTTCACTGCCTTGACACCCTCTACCTCTACCCCAGGTTCTGCTGCTGCTGCTACTGGCACCTGTCGTGGTCGATAGGGTGTGAGAGGGCGAGGGGGAAGCAGTCAGTAGAGAGAGGGAGAAGCACAGACACAGCGCACTGCGCCGCCGCACAGCACCACACCGCACTGCACTGCAATGCACCGCACAGCAGTGTTTTGAGTACAGCACAAGCTGCTGGCGTATGGCAAGGCGAGCTCTCGCAAGCCTGTCCCTGATTTGACTCAAACGAGCTTAAGGTTTCGAGTCGACGAACGTGGAAATCAACTGCAGGCATACAAAAGACCCCGGGTGAAAAGGTTAATCAAGTTCGTACATTGCACAGCTCCATGCTTTCGGCGTGCTCTTGCGTTGCACAGTCGGCTGAAAAGGTTAATCCGCTCGCTCTTGAGTTCACTGAACAGGTTTTCCATGTGGCGAGCTCTTGCATTGCGTGTGCCGCGCTCTTGCCTTACGTCTGGCGGCGTGCTCTTACATTGTGCAGCTCCAGGCTTCGTACGGTTCGCTCCAGCTCCTGTTGCCTCGCATGCAGCCTTTGAGGCGCTTAAAAAAACGTTCAAGGTGGTGTGTGCTGGTGTGTGCCGGTGTGTGCCGGTGTGCACTTACATTGCGCAGCTCGAGGCTTCGGATGGTTCGCTCCAGCTGCACTGCCTGTTCCATCTGCCACGCGTGCGACTGCTGCAGCTCCTGCTGCCTCGCTTGCAGCTGGTCTGAACGCCGTGCCAGGCTGGCCTGTGTTGTGCACGGAACGTGACGTTTACATACCGATACATGCAGGCATGCATGCATGCACACATGTGTGTGCGTGGGTACCCACACAGTCGCACATGCATGCATGCACATGTAGGTGGGCACACACGCGCACACACACATACTCACAAATGAGTTAGCACATGTAGAGGAAGAAATGCATGCAGAAAAGTGCACAGGGGGGAATGGTGGGTGCAAACACCATGGATACGCCAGGGAAGCAAGAATCACACACAAGAGCCAAGAGCGTGCATGGGAGAGGAGGAAAGAGAGAAGGAAAACGAAGAAGAAAATAAGAGAAGAAGGGAGGAGGCAGACAGGAGGCCTAGCAGGCAACGAGATGAGGGAGGAAACTACTGGGCCACGGGGATGCACCAAGGAAGTAACACGGACGCACCAATCTTGTGTGTTGCGCAGCCACCAGTTCAGATCTGGTGCCAATATGGCGATACACAGGTGCAATTTGGCCCCCACTGCTGCCGCCCTTCCTTGCAAGAAACACAGTCAGCGCGTGCGCTGACAGGTAGAACAAGAGCTCCACCATCCTGCCACGTGTCAAGACATGAGTGGTTGATTGCACTTGGGCACTTGGGGATAATTTGCGGTTGTACTGGCATCTGTAGGCTCGTTGAGCTCTATTGGTCAATGAATTGCACGGGTCTAAGACCCAGAGGGTATAAGAGCCAGAGTGGAGTGACTATGGCTGCAGCAGAACAGTATACGCGTTATGGGCTTGGTCAAATGTCATCACTTGGTCACATGCATCACTTACCATAAGAATACTCCGATATGATCACTTGAGAAGACAGTCAGATGACATGAATTGACACAAGAAAACCCACAATGGACAATGATTTGGTCCATAGCGAGGCATACGAGTGAGAGGAGAGGACAGGCATATGCAATACCAGGGGAATTGCATGCCATTACCATTGCCTTTGCCATTGCCATTACCATTGCCATTGCCATTACCATTGCCTTTGCCTTTGCCTTTGCCATTGCCATTGCCATTGTCATTGTCATTGCCATTGCCAATGCCATTGTCAATCATCGTCTCACCTGGGACCCGTGGCAGCAATGATGGTGGTGCTGCGCGCGCTGTGGGGAGGGACGCGGCCGTCCTTCTCGAGCTGCTTCAGGACCTCTATCACCGCCTGAACCACCAACCAATCACAGCCCGGCAAAGGCAGGAAACAAGAAATCCGGGTTAAAAAAAAAGGGGGGGTATGCAAAAAAAAGCTTGAATTGAGCCTGTCTTGCAATGGCCAGCTTCGTTTCTCGTAACTATGTACAAAGGTCACGACAGCTTGAATAGATAAAATTCTGGATGTACCTTGCGCATTTGCGTAAGATTTTTCTTGACGAGCGGCAACTCCCAATCGATTTCGCTTGCCTGAAAGCAGCCGATTCAAACCGCACGACAGCGAAACAAATCAGCGGCTGAGATTGGCAACTGAGAACAAACACTGAGACTCGTTAGTGCGGAGAATGAGATAGCAATATTTCGTAGACGAGGAGAGGAAGCCTCGAGCGCGGACGCATACATCTAGTATTTTCGTGAGAAGGAAGTGTAGGATCCCGTTGCACGCGTTTAGGTTGGTGACTTCGAACATTCCGGGAGCCAGGCGGATATTAGTAGCGACTGGGTCCTTGTGAAACCGCAAAATCTCCAAGTTTCCGAAAAACGCGTTCTCCATACAGCGCACGCTGTGATTTTGATCTAGGTGCTGCCTCTCCATAGCGGCTCGACGGAGAACGCGACTGAACGAGACGTCACGCTGCAGAATGCACCAACATCCACCCGATCAGCAGCTGATAGCGCAACGGAATATCAGAAACCAGCTCACATACGAAGCAATGAAGTGCCTTGGGTCCTTTGGATTTGCCCGACGCCACACTTGAAGCTGAGTGTCCTAGGGAATCACATTTCTTGAGGGATCTGGAGTCTGACTCGTGCTGCCATCGCGCGGGATCGCCTGTGGAGTGGATGTTTGGCGGGACGGGACAAGTCTGAAGGGAGAAGTTGAGGCGAGGAAGAAATCGAGGGGAGCTTGACGAAGGTCCATTGCTCTCTGCGAAGGCCTTGGGGACGATGCGAAGAATATAGAAGCCGTGGATTGGCTGGAGAGCTCGCGTAAATGAATTTCACGCATCCAATATCGAGGTGTAATTAAATGTTACGGGTGCCGAAGTAGCGAGAATTGCACTAAGGTGTCAAACGAGTACAAACAGTGCACGCGAAGTCGGCGAAGCTTCGTTAGCAGTAACGGGCGAACAACGGCTGCTGCTATACGCGATGTTGCATGGCGCGCTAAGGAATATCGAGAAAATTCCTTGCACTACCCCCCCCCTCAAGAAGCCCCCTCCGCTACACGAGTGCGTGTATATCGCGGAAACCCCGACTCCTCCGGTACACTTGCAGGGCAGGGTGGTTTTCGATGTTGGCCAAGGGCACCCAGCTATCTTCAGTTGGCGTGCGGTCCTTCTAGCGAATGAGGGATTCAATCCTCCTGATTCCCGTGGGGTGTCGAATCTGATGGCTCAGGATTTTTTCGGGTTCGATGATCGGCTCCGATGCAGGGCGAAACATGGATGGCAGGCGACGACGAGACAATTGGCTTGTGGTTGGAATATAAAATCGAAGCAGGCTGACGTGGAACGAAGGGCTGATGTACCGGTTTGTCGGCAACAGTAGGTGGGCTGTCACTGGGGTAATCATGTGGCTGTTTTGGAATGGTCCACAGTAGCGGGGTCGCAATTTCGGTACGACGGGCGGTCTTAAGTTCTGTGTGTCGAGCAGTACGTAATCCCCTGACTGGTACATGACTGAGCGTCGATGGCGGTCACCGTTGCGTGTAGCGATGATGTTGGCTTTTTTAATTGCTTCAGCGGCTCTGGTGCGGGCAGCTTGCAGAATTTCGGCGAATTGCTATGCACGCGGCGTTGGGTTGTCCGGACTGTCAGTAGAGCTACACTATGAGATCCCCGATCGATCCTAGGGGGGGTTACATGCGCGTTTGCCTGGGGGGTTATGGGTGCACTGACCCGCTACTAAAACAAGCCCTTTTATCCCAATGGTCTAGTGGTTGGGATTCTGACATGGTATCAGAGCGGTCTCGGGTTCGAATCCCGGTGTATGCATATGTTGGCCGTTACCACTGTGCTCAGTCCTGGGCCTCCCAGTGTGGAGGGGTGTCAGTAGAGCTACACTGTGAGATCCCTGATTGATCCTAGGGGGGGTTACAGGCGCGTTTGCCTGGGGGGTTATGGGCGCACTGACCCGCTACTGGAACAAGCCCTTTTGTCCCAATGGTCTAGTGGTTGGGATTCTGACACGGACTCGGCGTCATGGGCACTGTAGGGTTTTGCCCGTAGTTCAGGTAGAAAGGGGACTGCTGCGTCGTCGCTGATGTGGCGTTGTTATACGCGAACTCGATCAACGGCAGCTGCTGCTCCCAAGTGGTAGGGTCGTCGCACGTGGCACGAATCAACTGCTCCATCGTCTGATTCGTCCGCTCCGTTTGACCGTC